CATACGAAATGTATAAACTAAAATAATATTAGTAAACAGTTAACAATGTATAGATCATATTCATGACAAATAAAATATATATTAATAATATTAAATATATATAAATTTTTTAATAATTGATATTATTAATTGTATTAAATATCTCTTTAATGGTTTTGGTTCAAATCTATTTTATTTTAGATAGATAGATTTTAGTTAGAAAGATATAATATGCATAAAATTTTATGTTCAAATTTTATTACATAAAAATAATATTTGGTTAAAAAAGTCACATTATATTAGCGTAGATTAGAATTTATTTATTAACTTTAGAATATTGTGTAAATTATATATATTTATGAATAAAATAAAAATCTTATTACCGTATGTCATTATAATTTTTATAAACAATAAGAAATATCAAATTTATACTAATTATTTAATGTTATTAATACTACATTAATAGCATTAAATATCTCTTTAATGTTTAGGACTCAAAATTTTCTTTTGGTATAATAAGTTTAGGATTTAAGTTTATTTTAATTTTTATTCCTTTCGATACATAATGTAATTTATATATGCTCAAATTTATTTTCTGTTTTTGAATTGTTTTCTTACAGGTTGAATTGTTTTCTTTAAAACATATTTTATGAGTATTAATAATTAAAAGTAAATAATTCATATTTATTAATAGTATTAAGGTTAAATATTTTTTTTATTACCTATAATCTTACTTATTTTCTCTTTTAGTCTCTGTAATTTAAAATAGATTTTTTTTAGTTCCTATACACTATATCTTTTGCAATTTTTTTTAGTCCATATAATTTAAGATTATTTTTTTTAATTTTCATACTTGTAATTTTTTAATTTTTTAATCCTTGTTGTTATTTTTTTAACGTTATCTCTTTATATATTTAATATTGAATTTATTTTGTTAGTATTACTCTAAATTGGCTCACCAACGTTCATATCTCTTTTTTACTCTCGTTAATATATTTTATTTTTCTTATCTTCATAAAATTAAAGACTTTTATAACGTCAATATAAAAGAAATATGTTACAAAAGAAATTAATGATATAGAGACTTAAAAAGGATAGGTATAGGAACTTAAAAAAATATCTTAAATTACAAAAATTAAAAAAATTAATAAAGATAAATATAAGAACTAAAAATTCTATTTTAAATTATAAAAACTAAAAAAATAAGTGAAATTATATAAATTAAAAAGTATTTTAACCTAATATTAAATATCATAATAATTAATGTTATACTATATTAATGATATTAATTATATCTTTTTGCTTAAGGTTCAATTATACTAATATAAAAAACAATACATTTATTATTATTGTTAATGTGTGTGTAAAAAATTTGAATCGTAATAAGATATGAATGGAGTATATAACAAAATTTTGTTAATTTTTATCAGAAATTGAAAATCTACATTACATGAAAATTGATTGAAATTATAAGCACGTCTAAATTGAAATTATTAGTTTACAAAAGAAAATTAATTGACGTATATGTAAGCTTTTCTATACAATAAAAACTTATTACATTTATGACTTTCTATCCCATCCTATTTTTTCCGATGGTTGAACATATATGATTTTGAGGACAAGACTGAAATGAGCGGAGAAAAGCCATAGTGACTACCTATAAACTCTTTAACATTGAAATCATTAAACATTATAGTATAATAACAATATGGTAAAAAAGCAAAGAACATAAGAATATCTAGAAATGAAACTACTTTCATAGAAATAGCTAGGGTGTCGCATAAAATGTAAAGCACAAAAGAAATTAAGGACCAATAATGGATTTAAACCAAAAATAAAGAGGAAAAGATAAATGATCCAACGTCAAAAATGTGATTGAGTTTTCAATATGCATTTATTGCGCAAAAGAACAAATATAACTGCCGGAATCCCTTCTCAATTATTATTGTAGTTTTCTTCTTATCACTTCTATTCTTCACGGAAACATAACCCAAGCACGAAGGTATTACGTGGCAATGAGATATGGTATTCATGCACTTCTCATTTGTCTTCTTGCTTGACAACTATGGTGCATATAGTTACGTGAAGCAGTGCACACGGAAATATAGATACCTAACTTTATGGAGGGAAAGTTAGGGTAACTTTAAACCGTTGGATTTGTAATAATAGATCAGATTGTGACATGTGTCACAATCTGATACACACGTGTCACAATATGATACACCGGTTGAGAATTCGAAAATGATTTCGGATTCGAAAATGATTTCGGATTGTCGCTTACGTGCGTTGCATGCATGCGTGGGAGATAACTCTATATAAGACCAAAGCAAACTTCAGCTCAAGCCATGCACATCCTTCACGATCAGATAAGCAATTAAGTTGAACACACTAAAACATCTTTCCTTCGCTATTCTGAAAAGCTCAATCATGGCAAGTGTACTTTCTGCGGTCTCAGCTCCTGTTAGAAGGTAAGCAAGTTCTAACTTCACCACATTTTTTCATATATAGAGTCATGGAGTTATATAGTTATAACATAACATACACGCATGACATGCAGGCTTGAGGGTAAAGTGGCGATTATAACTGGTGGTGCAAGTGGCATAGGTGCGGCCATAGCGAGACTCTTCTCTAAGCACGGAGCACACGTTCTGATAGCTGATATTCAAGATGATTTGGGTCTTTCTGTTTCTAAAGACTTGGAAAGCGCTTCCTATGTCCACTGCGACGTGAGAATCGAAAAGGAAGTCGAAAACGCTGTGAACACAGCGGTTTCCAAGTATGGAAAACTAGATATCATGCTTAATAACACTGGAATAATTGATGATTTCAAACCAAGCATAGTTGACAACAACAAGTCTGATTTTGAGCGAGTGATAAGTACGAACTTGGTTGGTGCTTTTCTGGGAACAAAGCACGCTGCAAGGGTCATGATCCCTGCTAAAAGGGGCTGCATAATTAACACTGCTAGTGTTGCTGGATGCATAGGTGGAGGGGCTACACATGCCTACACATGTTCAAAGCATGCCCTAGTGGGACTGATGAAAAACACTGCGGTGGAGCTTGGACAATTTGGTATTCGGGTGAATTGCTTGTCCCCTTATGTTGTTGCCACACCGTTGACTAAGAAATATTACAATATTGATGAAGATCGAATTGGCGAGATTTATTCCAACCTTAAAGGTGTTCATCTTGTGCCTAACGATGTGGCTGAAGCTGCTCTTTACTTGGCAGGTGATGAGTCAAAGTATGTTAGTGGTCACAATCTTGTGCTAGATGGAGGATACACCGATGTAAATGCAGGATATTCTGTGTTCGGGCAATCTGAGTAAATAATGTTGGTGTTTGAAGTGTGTTTCGCTTGCTCTGCAGGTCAAGAACTTTAGCTGTCAGCATATGTGATTAAACAATATGGGGTGAATGATATATATGTTACGGAAACGTCTAGCAAATTTTAAACCAAAAGCAAAACAAGAAAGAAAGAACACCAAGGATTTAACGAGGTTCAGCCAATTATGCCTACTTCCTCGGACACTACCAAATATATTTCACTAAGAAATATTACAATAGAGAGAGAAGAGAAAACTACAAGCCTTAGAAGTTACAAATGAACTTGTAGTTGGGATGATTTCAAAGTGAAGGGAAGGGTTTCTATATATAGAACCTAAGGCACTACACATTCCCAAACCTATCCAATGTGGGACTAATTTGGCCACATCAAAAAAAACTTATTCGATGTGGGACTAAATTTGCCACACC